GTTGCCTACCGTCTGTGATACGTCTTGTCTACTTGACTAGGAAGAGTAAGATGGTCTAATCAATGTCTCAAGATCACAAACCTTTAGTAGCAAATATAAAAAAGGAGATTTTCGAATTCTTACTTGCAATTTCAATTCAATTATAAAATTATCTCGGGAATGATTTTGTAATACTGTTAAAATTTTATAAATATGTTTGAAAATTTCTCCAAATATAAATTCAAACAAATTTTATGAATGGTTTAAGTTCTACTCAACTCAACAAGATTTGGCAATTTAATTTGCAAGACTATTAATTTATCATCAATCTTCTAATAAATTAATTTATGGGTGATGATAATATAATGAGACTTTTTTATAGCACCACCCCCGCCTCATCTAATTTGAGATTAAGTGCTGCCACTACCTGAAAAAATCTAAGTAAATTTCATAGGTGTACATGTTGGGTAGCAGCACTAAATTGGATGATAAATCTGTTGATTTGTGTACACATGAGGGTAAGTGAGTCTCGAAATATCTGAGAGACGTCTGAGTGACTCGAATACCATCGGATCGATTATCTTAGTTAAGAGTTGAAGATTAAAAGAAGAAGCGGTGTATAGAGAGAAACTCACGGGCATCCTCCCTTCGGCTCTCACCTCACCTCACCAACTCATACCACTCTCCAAGTACTAGCAATGAGCTGTATCATATCTAATAACTACTCTCATCAACCATTCACGCGTCTGTCATTATAGACACACTCTAAGATATATAAACATACATATAAAATTAAACCCTGATCAACCTCTCTCTCTCTCACACACAGAAGGGCGCATATCCTCTCAGGCAAACCCAAAACTATAGATGTCTAAACCTCTAATGTATATGCACACAGTGTTCATTTGTCTTCTATTCATGCTGTACGTAGATGTAACGCTGGCCACGGCCAGAGTTCCGGTGGCCACGAAGACTTCGGGCGACCATGCGAGTGTGATTAAGCCCTGAAGGATCACCAGAGCAGGTTTTCGGAGAGACGGAAGTAAAAGTTGCATGCCAAAGGGGTTTCGGCATTCTTCGGCACCGAGCCGGTACGCGAACTATCATACCATGACCTCCTCTGCCTGCTCTACAACTGTCACCATTCGCGGCACTAAGATTCCAGGACGCCATGATCCCTGTCGCGACTTGTGAAGAAAAGCTCAGTTCACGGTAGAAATGATTCGGGCGAAGTGATATAAGCAGAGGGACTCTCGCGAACGAGCCTGCAGCAGTTCAAGTTTCCACTTTCCACCACCGAGACTTTCTTTTCTTTTCTTTTCGTTAAGAATTTATATGAATATTATATTAATTCGTTATGTTGTTCTAGATTATTGTGTTACCCGTATCATTAAATAATTTAGTCATCCTTATTTTTATAAGTTTAAATTTTTAGATAACATGATAGTAAGTAATTAAATATAATATTAGAATACGAAATGGATGAAAATGGCTAGTATGAATGGGTAATTAGGGGAGGCCTTGGATTTGGCATCCACGTCGAAATGGTTGGGTGCATGTTTTGGTTCGAGTATTTGTAGTATGGTTTCCCTTTGATATTTTAATATTAAAAATAATAATAGTTACAACTATAGATATATATAGATTTTTATCTCATATCACATAGGCACTCTATAATTTTTATTATATACAAATATATTACTATTTTATATATGTGTGTGTGTGTGTGTGTAATAGAAATAATTATGCTAAAATTACGTTATGTAATATTTTAGAACATAAGTATTTCGCCTAACTTAATCCTGTTAATTAACAAAAAATTAATTTTTTCCCTTTTCATTAATCCACAAAAAAAAATGAAGAAAACTCCAATCCGAGGTGCATGGAGTCTCTACAATTTAGACAGCTATCCCTGAGTTGGTATATGCATTATTCAAAATGAATCTCTCTCTCTCTCTCTCTCTCAAACCTAATAAAGACACCAATCACTCCTAACACATGGCATGCAGTGTTTGTGCTTCATGTAACTCATGACCTACTGCAATTTGACTTGTTCTAATTTACATATTACATCAGCGGAGCGGAGAAATAGATTTTGATTCCAAATCAGAAGCCTGCATGGAAGCTACAGTTTCTAGGAAAAAAGTGTTGAACTTTATGCATAATCATGGCACTTTTGGAGGTCTGTTTTTTTTTTTTTTTTATGTGTACAAGAGGCTTCATATTTGTAACTCATATATTTTACTATGAACTCAATTCTTTCGAATTGAAGAGATTTGGGTTACAAAGACAATTACTTTTTATACATATAACATAGTAAAATCTTTTTAAATTAATAAAATTTGGTTAAATAAAGACAATTACTCTTTATGATTATATAACCTATTAAAATCACTCAACCAAGTATACAAGAAAAATAAATAAATAACAAACAATCTCATTCTGAGTTTCTTAACACTCCATTTCTTCCGATAATCCAAAAAAAGTTGGTTTATTTTTTTAACATTTCGTTTATACTTTTCTTTACATGTTTTATTTCTAATTTCTAAAAACTAGTGCTAATAAACATTGAAAACTTGGACCAAAATGCAAAATTTTAAAAATATGGGCCCACAACCAGTGCCAATAAACCTTGGTCCAAAATGCAAGATTTTAAAGATATGGGGCAAAGCCCACAAATCAGAAAGGGCTGGGAGCAATTATTCCAATTATGCGTAAGCCGTCTTTAGTATTCAAATTTCACCAGAGGCAGGGATACGGATCCATCACTGCCGACATCACCTCAAGTAGCCTTAGAGGTCTGCAAACAATAACTGTTCTCAGAAACAAAATAACTTAAGTAGCTTTTAGAGTTATGCAGACAATTGTCACCACAAATAAAATAAGAGCGTGCTACCCTATATTAATCTAGTTTTATACAAGTCGTCTTCATCAGCCCCCAGCAGAAGCCGCAAATGGATCGGACGCAGCTGTACCCCCAGTTCCCGTCTCCGAGAACCTGAATTCAGTTCCGAAACCCGAGACTGCTGCAAGGTCTGAGCAAATGCCTGGTATTTGCGTATGTCAGCATCACTCACACTCCTGCGAGCAAACTTCATGGACTCCTCAAAGTGCGCTGCCTTAATCTCCGCTACTTCTTCCTCAGTATCCTCGTCCATGGAATCAGGATTCTCCCTCCTCCTGCGCTCCCTCTCTAATCCTGCAGGAGAAAGCCTTCGGTCAGCGGCCTCCAGAAACCGAGTACTTATAGACACGAGTGGAAGATTTGGGCACTTGTTACCAATATTCATAAAATTCTGTAAACATAAAATTTATGTTAACATGTTTAGTAAACAGACATTCCCTCGCTCTTTATACCCCATCACATATCCGCTCTCACTCTTTCACTTCCTCATCTCTATAGCATTCACATCTCCCATTCCCACTCTTTCATAAATTTTTTTTTTTTTTTTAAAAGGCAAAAGTTATCCAACCATGCTGTCAGCCTATAATCCAGAACATCTAAGCTATCACACCTAAATAAATTGACACCTAAAGCATGAACCAGGAAAACCAACTTAACCGGGGGCAACCCAACATCAAACTTTCTCAACATTAGACTTAAACCCTGTTATGTTAGTTTGACTAATTTTGTATAAAATCTCTAGGAAAGTCAGACAATTTACCTCTATGTTCACGCAAAAGGAAAACAATGCCTCATGAAGTGTTTCTTTCAAGTTTAAACTATCAGTACAAAGCTTACTTGAGAAGAGGGATATTTAATGTCAAGAGACCTACTATTTACAGAATATTGAGACCAATTTACCTCTATGTTCACGCAAAAGGAAAACAATGCCTCATGAAGTGTTTCTTTCCAGTTTAAAATATCAAGGAGAAAGCTTACTTGAGAAGAGGGATATTTAATGTCAAGAGACCTACTATTTACAGAATATTGAGACCAATGTTTTCCTTCTTTGCCAATTACCTAGGAAAGTCCGATGGTTACCTCTTTTTGCATACCAAGGAAACCATGCCCGTGAATTTTTCTTTCAAGTTTACAATATGAAAGACAAAGCTTACTTGAGAAAAGGATATTTAATGACAAGAGACCTACTATTTACAGAATACTGAGACCAATCTTTTCCTTCTTTGCTTCCTAGAAATTAGGACCTAACCAGAGATGTATTATACAATTGAGACTCTTATAACAAACAACTCTATCTAAATATCATAGTGTCTTCAAATGCATCAGTGCAGATCAGCATGCAGAAAAATTAGATGCAACTCCGCAGGAAGAAAAAAGTTAAGAAATTCTTTTCTTAGGAGATAGGAAGGCACATAAGAGGCAGGTTAGAAGGGCATACCTTCTCAATGTTCTCTCTTATAGCATACTTGCATGCCCGCTGGCATATTTCAGTAATATCAGCTCCACTAAATCCCTGAGTGTATTTAGCAAGAGCTCTCAAATCAACATCTTTGGAGACAGGTGATTTCCTCAAGCAGGCCTGAATATCTGATGCCGTGATTCCTCATCTGGTAAAGGTATATAAATTAATTGATCCAGACGGCCTGGCCGCAGAAGTGCTGGGTCAATAATATCAGGCCTGTTAGTTGCGCCAATGATAAAAACAGTCTTTTTTGCAGACATGCCATCCATTTCAGTCAAGAGTTGATTCAGAACCCTATCAGCAGCACCACCCGGCATCCCTACACTGCTTCCCCTCTGCAACAACCAGAGAAAAAAAGAGGAAGAAAACGAAAATCGTTAAGTCATAGACAACTAACCAAGAAATGCAGTCATTTTGTAACTAAGAAAAAGAAAGAAATGCAATCAGTAAAGGCATGCACTTGGATCCCAAAATTTAAACTTCCAGTCATTCAAAATCTTCAACACCAACATATACATAAATTTCAAAATCCAGAGCCCAATAAAACGGTTTACAGATTATACAATTTCTATAATTCAAATACTAGCCAAGATTGATTGGATTTATCTTCATGAGGTTTGATTTATACAGGATTTTACTATTTAGTCATAGGCTTTGCTAAGGATTTTAGTTTGGCAACTGCCTGTATGGGTAGTATATTGGTGTAGGGAATGATAGTTGTTGAACATTATCAAACTAGAGAATCTGGGTATTGAACATTTAAGTATAGAATCTCTGGATTTTCTGCTGGACTTGGGTTTTCGTTCTTGTTCTTTCATCAAATCACAAACTTCAAATATTATAGTAATGATCCCGCATAACTAAGACAGTAGGGAATGAAGAAACCACCTGAGTAGCAATAGAATCAAGCTCATCAAAAAAGAGGACACATGGTGCAGACTGTCTGGCCTTGTCAAATATTTCTCGAACATTGGCTTCGCTCTCCCCAAACCACATGGTAAGCAGTTCAGGTCCTTTAACGCTAATGAAATTGGCTTGGCATTCATTAGCAATTGCCTTAGCCAGCAGAGTTTTCCACACATCCAGGAGGTCCATAGAAAAGAACTCCTTTCGAATGGGACATGCCAAATTTCTCAACTTCTCTGGATGTTCCACTGGATATTGCACAGTCTGCAAAACAAAAATGAAAAGAAAAACAATAACAAAAACATAGGTTAACCAGCAAGAAAAGGTATGAAGAGAATATAGCTTAAAAAACAGTTGAGAAATTCTTATTACCTCTTGAAGCTCTCGCTTGACATTCTCAAGCCCTCCAATATCCTCCCAGGAAACATTTGGCACCTCAACAACCTAAATTAAAAGGAAAAGAGAGAGAGAGGGTAAGAAATTACTACAAAGATATAGAATCTCATGTCATAAAAACTTTCGGGCATTGGAAAAAAACTCAAGCTTCCAGAACCAAAACACGAATTACCGTTTCCCGCAGAGCAGATGGATTGCTTGTTCCAAGAGCAGTCTGAAAATGTTCATTTGTAACTCTGCCATGGAATTCAATATCTCAGCATCAATAGTGTCATCCTCCAGATCAATGACATCCATCTTTTCTCTGATGCACTGAAGAGCAGCTTCAGTACAAAGAGCAGCAAGATCAGCACCAACATCATGATAGTCTTTAGCTATTCTTTCCAAATCAACCTGTTTGTGGGGAAAACACACGTGTATCATATGTATTATAAATTTAATCATCATGTAACCCCCCGCGCGCGCGCGCCGCGGGGGGGGGAGGGGTGTGGAACAACAACAAAAAAACAATGAGAAAGAAAGAGACTATACTTCATCAGAAAGCTTCATATTCTTGGTATGAATGCGAAGAACTTCAAGGCGCCCAACTTCATCTGGAACACCAATGTCTATCTCCCTATCAAACCTACCAAACCTTCTTAAGGCTGGGTCTATGCTGTTAGGCCGATTTGTAGCACAATACAATGACATGGGCTCGAGATTTCAGTCCATCCATGAGAGTCAAAAGCTGCGAAACAATACGCCTTTCAACTTCACCATGAGTCTTCTCTCTCTTTGGAGCAATTGAATCAATCTCATCAATGAAAATAATTGAGGGGGCATTTTTCTCAGCCTCCTCAAATGCCTTCCTAAGGTTGCTTTCACTCTCTCCAGCCAATTTGGACATGATTTCAGGTCCATTTATACAAAAGAAGAAAGCCCCAGTCTCATTAGCAACAGCTCTAAGCAATTAATGTCTTTCCAATCCAGGAGGGCCATAAAGTAAAATGCCTTTGGTGGCTTCACGCCTATAGATTTAAAAAGTTGTGGATGCTTAGTGGCAATTCTACCAATTCACGAATCTGAGCCATCTGCTTTCTCACACCACCCACATCATCATAGCCAACCTCATCCAACCTATCCTCATCCTCCCTTCGCACAGGCTCCCCTCACAGAAGATCTCAGTATCAGGGGCAACCACCACAGTATTCTCCTGGGTCAGTCTCAATGACCTTAAATTCTACACTCCTCATTCCTCCCCTGACAAGGAAATGATCACCTTTCCTCACTGGACGATAGGCCTCCAGAAAGTAAGCTGCAGATGACATTGAAAAATAACAAATAAATAAAATGAAAAACATATTAACAGGTCATAGAGGTGAAGAAAGAACATATTAGGAGACATTTCATGGAATCACAAGGAGTAAGAAGAAACAAATGCATCATGCAATAAGAGATAAAATACTTGCAACCTTAGCTACCAAGAACTATCAAAAGAAACACATAGCTTAAACAAGATTGACATAGGAAACATCAAGTGCACTACTACTAGCACCTTAAATTCCAAAATAAAAAATAAGTGTCTGTGACATCAAATACACTAAAATGGATGGGCAGACACAATGAGCATAATAACCAATTTCATTAGAGTTGCATAAGTAAACTTTAGAAAAAAGGAGCTCTGCCAGAACCTTAAATCCACAATACAAAACAAGTGTGTGACATCATACACACTAAAATTGGACAAGCACGGCATCAGGGTGTTAATTACCATTTTCATCAGAGTTGCAACTTTGTCCTATAAAATATGTGCAAAACAATGTTAACCTAGTGTTTCAATTGGGTAAATCACAAGCGCATTAACTCTCCCAAATAATTACCCCCAAGAAATAAATGAACAAAATGTCACCCCTTTAACAGCTTAGAAGCCCAAAGGAGCAAAACATGGAGGAAAAGGAAAGAAATTTTATCAACTGGCACAATGCTAATAGATTCCTTCATAATCAAATTAAAACATGATATAACATGTGGCTTATAGAAACAAATTAGATAAATAAGAAAGAAGAATGTTCTTCAAATTCTATTTTATAATCCTTCAAAGTAATTTTGTATTTAAAACTTTATAACACCAAAAAGCCATTAGAGCAATCACACCACTGCCAGTTAAAACTAAATCATTTATCCAAAAGGAAAAACATGTAAAACAAGAAAATGGTTTCCTCTTCCTGTTTATCAATACAACACATCACTTCCCACTAAATAACCAGCATCTTAGCTAAGTGAAACTTCTATACACATAATTCCAAGAAAACAAGCATTCCCCATTATATGTCAACTAGACCTTACAGCATCAAGGTTGACACAATTCAACATGACAAAATCATTAAACTAGATAGACAATACAGAGCCAATAAGAATAACTAAAGTGACAGTAACAGCACCATATAAGATTTGGGACTTTTAATCCAAAATCACATTTCTTAGAATGAAACAAGGAGGAAAAAAATATTATTTAGAGAGGGATGGAGGAAGGGGGATTAGGCACAACCTTATTGAAAAAAGCACAGGGAAATGCCACAATGCACCTAACACACCAAAAAAAAGGTACCATAATCAGTTTTATATAAAATCTTTATGTGCAGCGCCCCCCCCCCCCCCCCCCCCCCAAAACAAAAAAAAGGGGAATAGAAAAAGTCAGAGTTAAGTATTGGTTTGAGGATGAATAGCCACAACTGTTAATTAACTAAACAAATGGGACAAAATCCAGCTCTTAGCTTAAAATTATATCTTCTATCACAATAAACATTTTCCCAGAATACCCCCACCAAATAATCTGCATCAAAATGCTAAAGACCTAAATACCTAGCCCTTCCCAAAATTGTGCACAGCTCCATACACCAACATCATCCAAGTTTACCAAGAAACATAATCCTACTGTACTGATTCCCACCTTGCTTACACAGGCAAAACCAACGAAATCATCTTTTCACATAGCTGTGACATCAAACATAAAAACATATTTTAGTAAGAAAAGAAAATAAATAATTTAGTCAGTTGAATGCACCAAAAGCACAAAGGTGAACAGGGAAATATGCAACATGATATGCAAACATGTTAGTGTATGCCAAGGCATATACACAATTGAATCTCTGTATGTGTGTACATACAATTGAAAATACATCATAGCAACACCTAACCATATAAAAGGATATATTCAACCATTGAAATAAAAAACAGATTTATAGAGATGCATGTAGACAATTTTCCTGCCATGGATGTGTGTAAGTATATTGAGAACCAAGAAGTTAAACATGCAAAGAATCATAGCTTATTAGCCAGACATAAAATGAAAAGACATCATCATAAATCTACCAATTCAAGCTAATGCAACTAACAAATAATAGGCTGTTGGCAAATGACACACTAACATGCAGACATTCACAGCCTCACAGAAGGCAGGTTTGCAAACTTACGTTTCAGGTATGCATCAAAAAGATCCCCTGTAAGGCCTTCTATGGTATCATCCAGTGGCAGAATGTGGACGCGTTTTCCATATTTGACATCTGCACACTGATGGACAGATACAATATCTCCCAACCGAACCCTCAGATTTGACCTGACAACCTTGTTCATCCTGATCTTTGGCTCTTCACATTCCTCATCAGCAAGGGCAATACAGACTGTATCTTTCCTTTTCTTACCTGGAACCCAAAATACAGCAGGCAAATGTAAATCATTCAGAAAAGTCACTCCTATTTATCTATCCAAGAATCAGTGGAACAGTGAGACTACCGCGTGAGCTTGAGTTCATCACGCCACAATAAGTTAATTTAACCATTAGATTGAATATTCCTTAAAATTCAAAGAAAATGGAACAAATATTTAACATTTGGGCTAGTGGGACTCTGTAAGTACAATGGTTTAGTACACTAGAAGAAGGAATAACTACATCATCATGTGCTCTGGCACAAATCGTAACATGCAGACAGTGGACAGAAAGGAGGGGAAAAAGAAGGAAGAAAACCAACAACAGATCAGAGTATTCAATAGCCGGCTGTCACACTAAAACAGAAACATGAACAAAAACATGCTTCAAAGCGGTTTTTTCTTTTTCCTTCTTTTCCATACCAGTTGTCTGCTTATGTATTTCCTAATCTACACAGAGCTCCAATCACAAAGTGAATTAGACACAATCTACAATCAAGTAGGACCAATTATAGCAACAGATCAAAATCCATTAACAGCCAAGAATAATCTACAGGAAAATCCATACCAAAATACAAATCCCTAAATGTATCCCAAAAACCCCATTACAACATTTTAGACTCAAAAGCACGTCTTCAACAACATCCCGAAAAAAAATAGAAAAATTAACCTTGATCAAGATTGTGTCTCCGCGGAAGAGCTGAAGCTTTTCCATAGTATCAGGATGCATCGCCACGACGGAATTATCGTCATTAACGGCCTCGTCCACGATAAGCCGATTGGGGGACTTCTTGCGCTCCAAGATTGCAGTGGAGAAATCCTTTTTCGCTCCTTTCCTGAAAATTTCACAGAATCAAACCCTTCAGACAAAAATCGGTAAATCCTACGACAATTGAAACCATAGACTAAGATGGATCGTGAAGTCTAACTAAAACAATAATCTTTAATGTGAAAAAGCAAAAGAACAGTTCGATTATTGTACTCACGAGCCAGATGATTCAGCTTGGTCACTCATCTTCTGCGGATTAATCGAAGACAATTTGAGGAGATCAGGACGCAAGGATGTGGAAAACGGAGAACGAGAGAGACGAAAGATAGACGACGGCCGACTCTCTTGTCCGGGTATTTAATAGGCTTAGTGGCGGTATGGGAGGAAATCTTAATGAGAACGAATAGTGCTTTTGACAGGCAGTTTAGAATTTTTAGGAGTGTTTAAATTTTAAATTTTATTCTACTATTTCAGATTCTATTTTTTCATAGTAAAATTATCGCATTATTTTTTATTTTTAAAATAGATGATAAAATTGTCTTACACATACTAAATGTGTTTATAATATAATATATTATATATTCTATGTTTAATATATATAATATTATATATTATATTATAGTATATAGTAAATTATATCATATAATATACTATATAATACAGTGTATATATAAACATATATATTATAATAAATAATGTAGTATATTGTATTATATATATAGTTATACATACATTTATACAAAAGATACAATATTATATTATATTATAACACGTATATTTTATATATATATATATGTATATATAGGTACGTATGTATTACTTGTCATTAACTCAAAACTATATATTATATTATAATTCAGTTAGTGACAAGTAATATGTGTGCGCAACAAAGTAAAACTTAATATTTTTAAGATTAAAATATAAATTTTTTATTTTTTAAACTTTTTACATATTTATATGATATAAACAATTAAGATTTATTTAATTTTAAATTTTTTTAATAAAAGATATTTTTATTTTTTGAGTTTTTTATTTTCTTTCTAATTTTTATTCTAACATACTAAATATAATAATACAAATAAAATTTTTATTTTAAATTCCTATTTCATGAAAATCATTTCATCTATCATACACCATCTTAATTCCTTCTATTTTTTCTCTCTTTATTTTTTATTAAATGTAATGTGGATTAAGAAAGTGTTTGCAACAATTTCTGCATACTGATTTTACATTTTTTAATATAAAAATGTGTTTTTAACATATTTGGAATATTATTTTTAACTTTACTTCTTTTAGGTAGAGTGCTTTTAACTTTTGGTATAATATTTGTAATTAAGTAAAAACTATTTAGATATTTTTAATCTTAAAAAACTATTTATGAGTCTGAGACTCAAATTCTTTTGATAGTTCTTTGTAGCTAAGGTTGCAAGTTTTTTTTCTCTTATTGCATTGATGCATTCTTTTCTTCTCCCTCCTTGTGATTCCATGAAATGTCTCCTAATACGTTCTTTCTACACCTCTATAACCTGTTAATATGTTTTTCATTTTATTTATTTACGCTATTTTTCAATGTCTTCTGCAGCTTACTTTCTGGAGGCCTACCGTCCAGTGAGGAAAGGTGATCATTTCCTTGTCAGGGGAGGAATGAGGAGTGTAGAATTTAAGGTCATTGAGACTGACCCAGGAGAATACTGTGTGGTTGCCCTGACACTGAGATCTTCTGTGAGGGTGAGCCTGCGCGAAGGGAGGACGAGGATAGGTGGGATGAGGTTGGCTATGATGATGTGAGTGGTGTGACGAAGCAGATGGCTCAGATTCGTGAATTGGTAGAATTGCCACTAAGGCATCCACAACTTTTTAAATCTACAGGCGTGAAGCCACCAAAAGGCATTTTACTTTATGGCCCTCCTGGATCTGGAAAGACATTAACTGCTAGGGCTGTTGCTAATGAGACTGGGACTTTCTTCTTTTGTATAAATGGACCTGAAATCATGTCCAAATTGGCTGGAGAGAGTGAAAGCAACCTTAGGAAGGCATTTGAGGAGGCTGAGAAAAATGCCCCCTCCATTGGTTTCATTGATGAGATTGATTCAATTGCTCCAAAGAGAGAGAAGACTCATGGTGAAGTTGAAAGGCGAATTGTTTCGCAGCTTTTGACTCTCATGCATGGACTGAAATCTCGAGCCCATGTCATTGTAATTGGTGATACAAATCGGCCTAACAGCATAGACCCAGCCTTAAGAAGGTTTGGTAGGTTTGATAGGGAGATAGACATTGGTGTTGCAGATGAAGTTGGGCGCCTTGAAGTTCTTCGCATTCATACCAAGAATATGAAGCTTTCCGATGAAGTACGGTCTCTTCTTTCTCATTGTTTGTTGTGGTTGTTTTTTTTTTTTTTTTCCGGTACATGATGATTAAATTTATAACACAGATGATACATGTGTGTTTTCCCCACAAACAGGTTGATTTGGAAAGAATAGCTAAAGATACTCATGGACATGTTGGTGCTGATCTTGCTGCTCTTCAGTGCATCAGAGAAAAATGGATGTCATTGATCTGGAAGATGACACCATTGATGCTGAGATATTGAATTCCATGGCAGTTACAAATGAACATTTTCAGACTGCTCTTGGAACAAGCAATCCATCTGCTCTGCGGGAAACGGTAATTCGTGTTTCGGTTCTGGACGCTTGAGGTTTTTTACAATGCCTGAAAGTTTTTATGACATGAGATTCTATCTCTTTGTAATTATTTCTTACCCTCTCTCTCTCTCTCTTCCTTTTAACTTAGGTTGCTGAAGTGCCAAATGTTCCCTGGGAGGATATCGGAGGGCTTGAGAATGTCAAACGAGAGCTTCAAGAGGTAATAAGAATTTCTCAACTGTGTTTTAAGCTATATTCTCTTCATACCTTTCCTAACTGGTTAACCTCTGTTTTTGTTATTGTTTTTCTTTTCATTTTTGTTTTGCGGACTCTGCAATATCCAGTGGAACATCCAGAGAAGTTTGAGAAATTTGGCGTGTCCCCTTCGAATTCTTCTCCTATCTTTGAGAATAATTTACAAATGAAACCCACAAATTTAAACAATGGTGGCAAGGAAGTGAAGGTTCAAAAAATTGAGTTTTGCATCCTTTCCATGCATAATCAATCATTCATATTGTAAAATGAGTCTGAGACCTCATGCATACGGATAAAGGTGGGGTCTAGCAATTAGAACATGTCATAATGCCATTGGTGATTAAACGCCATCTCACAAAATGTCTTTAAAAGTTTTTGAGAAGGCTGAGGTGACTGAATTATTTATATACAATCAATTAGGAGAAGTTGAATACGTGGACGGACATTGTTTAGTCGACTAAACATGTCATTTAGTTGAATGCATTAACATTTTCAACCTAAAACTGGCATCATATCATTTGTCCAAGTTGACTACATGCACGTAACACACCTCCCCTAAAATAATCATAAATTACTATAAAAAATTGTTGCGCGCACTTTTCTAAAAATTTTGTGGTCTAAAAAAAGACTCAGAGAGATTTTTTAGATTTCAAATTTTAATTTAATAATTATGTTGGTGAAATTGGATGTTGCAAGAGAGTTGAGCTTAGAACATGTTCATTCTATACACAGTAGTTTGAGGATAAAAGAAACCAAATCTTCATCAAGATTTGTGGTGCATTGCAATAGGATAATGGTTCGTTAAAATAAATAATTCAAATATATAACTTCCAAGACTTGTCTGTTTTAATGAAATTTTAGAATATGTCACTCCACTCTTTATAAATTCAAGATTTTCTACTCATTGAACGACATCAAGACATTTTCAAATATCAAAAATTTTTAGATTTTAGGAACCATATAAAGACTTCTTTAGATAGATTTGAAAGCAATTTTGAAGTCAATTCTTTGAAAAGATCTTTTAATTTTAGAAAATGTCCTTTGAAAAGCAATTTGAGCTGAAATTTTTACACATATTACAAGGGACTCAAAATTATACTCTTTCTTCACTTAGAAACTAGAGTTGATTTTTTATTTTATTTCACAAGATAACCTTAAAATAATATTTTAGAGAAGAGAACAAGTAAGAGAACATGCGTTCAATTTTATGTGAGTATTTCTCATAAAAAAGAAAAAGGACAACCTTCTTATTTGAGCCCTTTCCAAGGTTCAAATTCAACGAAATCTCTAAAATAAAGAAAAAAAAGGACACATACAAGTGGTTTACATGCCTTTCCAAATCTTGAAATTATGAACATTAAAATATCTCAATTCACAACTTAAACATAAAAACTTCATGATTTTAAAAAACCAACCAGAAATTTGATTGATTATTGATCTTTTTTATGCTAAATCTAGAGTACTTTGATATAGGCTTGAATTACGTGATGAATATTGATATCAAAAGAAGAAATTTGAAAGTGACAATCAGAGAAGAAGACACAAACTTTTTACTCCTTTTGAAAGCACTAGAGGTTCATCGCCCTCTTCACAACTGCTTCACCAAATGATATCCTTAAGCTTCACCTAATGAAATTCTTGATTCACCTTAGTCGAGCTAATCAATCTCTCATTTTTTAGAATAGAAAAGATACATGTTAAAGCTATGTTGAAAAATCATAAAATTGTCATCATAATTTTTGGATTAAAGCTAATTGCCCTAGAATTGATCTCATTATAATTTTTGCATTAATTCATGATTGGAATTTGGTGAAATCATTTCAAATTGGGTGACCCACATTTTAAAAGTGAGATGGAGTTTGACTAGAAAAAAAAATGAATAACAAAAAGCCAAGCTCAATACTCTTATATATACATATATATACATACATATATATATATATAGTTTGGATGGATATTATTCTAAAATTCGTTAGTTAAATTTGTTATGAAAGGTTATTATGAATTGGTGGGGTGTTATTTATTATATTGTTTTAATTTTTTATTTTGTTATGATAGTAGTTTTATTTGGATTATTTTATTATAATTGTTCTTTTGAATATATAAAATAATATGTAGTGATAATTTTTTAATTTTTATAATTTTGTTATATTGTAATAGATGTCCTTGCAATTTGTAAAAATTGGTAAAGAGTCTAGGACAGGGACAGGAACCCTTGTCCCCGTGTGGCATAGTGAACGATTGAGAATCGTTCATAGAATTATGCTTCAATCCCATCAATTGAATCAGGTGGGACTTGAGATGATAGAATTCATGAAATGATTAATGATGAATTGTCAAGTATATAGTGACAGGAAAAAAAAGATAAGATATAAAAAAATACATAATAATATTTTAACTTTTAAATAGAAAAGATGAGACATGACTGCAATTGATAAAGATCCATTTATTGCATTCTATCACAAGTCTTGGGACTGTGAGTCTAAAGAGGATGTTAGGTTGATTGATTCCATCTAGGAAGATCAAACTAATTCAAATGTACTGGGATAAGAATTTATTTGATATTAATTCATTGAATCAATGTTTTTAATATCTGTTAAATTGATATTAGTACAAATATTTGATATTAATTCGATATATAATAGAGTTATAAGTCTACTACTAGGTTAATCTCTTACGTTTAATAGAAGGAATAAAAGGAGACCAAATTTGATTTAGATATAGAAAATTATTGAAAAAGTAAATAGAAAATGCAATTTTGTTTTAATTTTTCTAGATAAATGTTATTCATTGTATATTTTGTTTTCTTGTGTCAATTAAAAGATCTCCTAATGTTTAAGTAATAGGTTGAATTGTGTTTGATTATGGTTAGAATTTACATTAAGAGCATAGAATATATATAATTGAACAAGATAAAAGAAAAATGCACAATTCACAGCATCTCCAAATTGCCCATTACGAATAAGATGTCCAACCCTAACCTTCACCACCAAAGGGATAGGAACTGAGCACCTAATCCCAACCATCAGTCTCACCCCATAAGGCCACCATAATTTCTATATATTAGCAATTTGTACTCATCAGTATATTTATTTGTAATATTAATCTGTTTTTTATTAGAGTTCTATAACAGCCTAAGCGCCCCGCTCGTATGATATTGTCCGTTTTGCTGGACTGACGTTACTACCCCTCCCGGCAGGCCTGCCCCCACAGCTTCACTGCTTTGTTTTTTCCCCCCACAATTGAGGAGAAAACACGTCGTACAAGGGGAAGGTATCCACACACCTATAAGGCATGCTTTGTTCACCTCCCCAACCGATGTGGGATCTCACAATCCACCCCCCCTTGGGGCCCAGCGTCCTCGCTGGCACACCAGTCCGGTCCTCGGCTCTGATACCATCTATAACAGCCCAAGCGCCCCGCTCGCACGATATTGTCCGCTTTGCTGGGCTGACATCACTGCCCCTCCCGGCAGGCCCGCCCCCACAGCCTCACGGCTTTGTTCCTCCCCCCACACTTGCGGAGAAAACGCGTCGTACAAGGAGAAGGTATCTACACACCTATAAGGCATGCTTCGTTCACCTCCCCAAACGAAACATGCCTTATAGGTGTGTGGATACCTTCCCCTTGTACGACGCGTTTTTCCCTCAAGTGTGGGGGGAGGAACAAAGCCGTGAGGCTGTGGGGGGCGAGCCTGCCGGGAGGGGCAGTGATGTCAGCCCAGCAAAGCGGACAATATCGTGCGAGCGGGGCGCCTGGACTGTTATAGATGGTATCAGAGCCGAGGACCAGACTGGTGTGCCAGCGAGGACGCTGGGCCCCAAGGGGGGGTGGATTGTGAGATCCCACATCGATTTGGGAGGTGAACGAAGCATGCCTTATAGGTGTGTACATACATTCCCCTTGTACGACACGTTTTCCCTCAAGTGTGGGAGAGAAACAAAGCCGTGAGGCTGTGCAGGCGGGTCTACTGGGAGGTGCAGTGATATCAACCCAGCAAAGCAGACAATATCGTGCGAGCGGGGCGCCTGGGTTGTTACAAGTTCCAAATTGAAAAAAGAGAGTATAAAAAATTAAAATTTTAATTTTAGATAAATTTTGTAAATTTTTTATTATTTTAAATATTTTTATAATAATTACATGCTAGTTTCTATTTTTTCAATTAAAAAAGTTTTTTTTTGAAATAAGAGAGAATAACAGCAGAACCCTAGGACAAATATTTTGAAATTGCCCATTATGGATAAGATGCTGTTGGGCTTCTCATCAAAATAGGGAATTTTAAAGTAGCAGAAATTTAAAATTTTTATCTTAAATTGTGTGATTGAATCACTTTAAATTCCTAATTTTATGCCCTAATATACAACATGCATAAATTTAATTTGAGAAAAATTGATTTTATACCTTACGCGCTTTCAACTGATGTAGAGATTGAACGAATTTAAATTTGCACGTTAGTAGCTTAGCACAAACGTTAGAACAGTCTATGAGAAACTCAAATACGCTTCTTCTAATGATATCTACGCAGGGAACGTTCACAGGCATTTATGATTATGCTAGTAATTCAAAGGCACTTTTCTTAACTTATGAGTTTTTCTATCAAGATAACTCTTGATCTAAGAATTGTAGAGAATCTCTCCCTTCAACTACTTGAAAGTCTCTCTCTTAAAAAAGGTCTTCTAAACTTTTAATTATAGAGAAATAATTTTATATTTATCTTATTGTGAATTATAAGATAATATTTATATTACTTAATTTAAAAATTAAATAATATCTATCTAGATAATTCATATTAATTATCTTTAATAGTCTCCTAACTAATTAAGAGATTTTATATGATAAGATTAAATAAATAATTAATTAAACTATTTAATTAATATAATTATTTTATTCTATATTATCTATTAATTAAATAACAAATCATTTAATTAATCAATTTTAATTAACTAATCAAAGTAATTAATTTAACTAAATTCTCATAAATGATATGAACTTATTCACTCTTGTGTATGACCCTTTGGGTCCACCAATTAGTTAGCAGCGGGCTCGCAATAAATTATAAGTTAATATATGAATAATTTATTATAATGAATTACTCCAGTTAATTAAATACTTTTTGATTAGTAACTCTTGAGCTAATTTATATTAAAACAAGAATACTCACATTTTACAAAATATATCTAGCAACAAGTTCATAAAGATCTAGAAAAAGGTGTAGATAAAACCGTGAACATTTTTTTGTTTATGTGTACCATCCAAATACAATTTTTCCATTAACTAATCTCTTGGTTGATATACAGAATTTGAATAATATACTAG